TGACGCTGGGATGCTTCTTGGACGCACTTTCACGGCGTTTCTCCATGGTCGCCATGACTACCTTACAGTAGAGACAGGAAGAGATTGCATTTGAAACACGTGCCACCTGATGGTTGTTGTTGTACACTGCAGCTACTGCAGCAACTCCTAGCTACATTGTTCCACCCCCTCCACTGGGTATGGTAATCACTTGAATTGAAAGAAGTGACATCTTTAACTGCTGACCAAACTGTAGCCGTTTTTCTCCCGCAACCCATTTTGAGGCTCTGATGATTAATGCTCCACAATCCACTGCTGTACAAATAAAAACTAATAACATAAAACAAGGAGATTTATCATTTGGCATCCTTGTGGTCCTCGCATAATTGTTTCAGTCATGGCTTAAAGCTGTGGCTTCTGTATTTTCTAAACACAGACCAATTTCATTCAGCAAGATCTGCAACTGAGCACAGTTTACAACAAAAAACAGGTGCTTCACAAAACTGTCTGAATGGTTACAAACAAGCAGGCAAGCAGCAATCTGCAACTGATTAACACTAACTTAGTCTTTTAATGTTATGTATTATTATTGGCCATGGTAGTGAAATCAATAAACAATCGACACAGAGCCACAACAGAAACAAAACCAGTGAAGCGCCAGTGCAAAGGTCAGCCATTTCAACAACACAGTCTGACGGTTCTTGCACACTGACCAAGGAGAATACTGGCTGACTGTGTGTGTGTGTGCGTGTGTGTGTGTGTGTGTGTGTGTGTGTGGCTATGGGGGCAGTGTGAGACAGTATTCCTGTCAGCTGTTGATAAGCGGCCTCCTCCCTGGCCTTATTTAGACAAGCACTACTTCTGGCGGACACACACACACAAACTAGCAATCTGGCCAAGAATGTTCCTACTTGCTTCTCTCTCTCCCTCCAGCCGACTCACCTACTCTCTTGACCTCTGTCTCTCTCGTTCAATCCCTCACCGTCTTTCGCCCAGATGACGGGAAAAGTGACGCAAGCTGAAACCCTTCCACACGTTCCTGAGCTCTGACCATCATTCATCAGCTACGGCTGCACTGCAACCTTCAATGACTGCATCTCTAATTTCCTACATTGTACCACCAGCTCTTAGCTCTGGGTTAGTCCGGGTCTAAGCATGCAGTCATGTCTGTATGTATTTAAGCATGCGTGCAGGGAGGTACACGTGCGCCTCCTGTGCTCATGCAGTCTGGCTGTTCAGTAACACACAATAACCAAAGAAACCACTGTTATAAGTTAACATCAGGCAAAAAAGTAGTAGTTTTAAAGTCTGAGACTGTGAGCCTCCCCTTAGACAAAGCTTGGAAAAAGGCTCTAACCCCCCCACACCTAGTTTACTTTACTTAGTTTCGCTCAGTTCCTGGATGCCTATGGGATCATGATTATGTTATTTGATCCCTTTGACACTCAACAATTGAGCCAAGACAGTCTAATATTGCTGTTTGACACTTCACACTACACCAAATACATTAAAAAGTAAATTATTAGTTAGTGTCTCTGAACTGTCTCTTTAACCAATTTAGGCTACCATTTAGGCATTCTATGTGATCTCTTCTCATAACTAATAACTAAAGTCTAATATTTTTTCACTTCTGTTCACCGAGCCTCCCCTGAGCCCCCGTGGGGAGGCCGGCCTCCCACTCTAAAAACCCTCTGGTATACATTATACAGACATTAAAGGATCAGGACAGACTTCTTATTCCGTCTGAGCACAATGTCTTCTGCAGACTCATGAGGACTGTCTGAAGCCACTGATGTGTGCCTTCTGCTGCACTCTTATTCTTGCAGCACTATTTTTGTGGACAGTCTTAGGTGACACAGTGCCTGCCCCCTGAACAGCGCAGCAGAGCTCTGTGCATGATGACCTAACAGCAGTTGTCATGACCGAAACCTGCAGGGTTGAATCAAACAGATCCTGAATCATGTGTGATTAATTTAAGATACTAGCTTTTAATAAGAGGTCTTTATCTGCGTGATATAGCCCCTCTGCTCTTTCTCCTTGAAGCTTCAAGTTTAAAAGATAGGCTCATGATTTTCCCAGTCTGCCATAAAACAATGGTAAGGTATTCTTATTTGTCACATACCCATACATGTTGCGAAATTCATTCTCTGAATTTAACCCAATCCTCAATGGAGCAGTGGGCAGCCAGTGTCACTGGTCAATGGCAATGACTGGAGAACCTAACATGTTTTTTAGGGCTGAAACGATTCATCGATTAAATCGATTACTAAAAAGCATCGACGCAAAGTCTTTGCATTCGTTTAATCCATATAACTATATAGCACACTGTTTTGCACGGATATTTATTAATGTCACGCTTAGACTGTATGAAAACGACGTGATTATGATGGCGCTGCAAAGTGGAGGAAGAGAGAGAAAATAGCGAGGGACAAAGAAGAAAGTGTCCAAAGTATGGGATTATTTCAAGCTAAAAGAAAACAACAACTCTGTAATGTTACAGTCTGTCCACCGTAAAACGAAACTTATGTCGCCAACGGCAACAGCACGACTACGCCCAGTGCCGAAAGCAGCCAGCGGACCACCGACAAGGTGACAGTAACAGCAACTTTAGCATTTAACTGAAATCCGCCGCCACCAAGCAAAAGTACTTCTTGAACAATGCATCTATGAAATAATCTGTAGAAGCTTTGAATACTAAAATCATCGTTAGATCGGGGTTTAAACCCGTGACCTTCTTGCTGTTAGTTACCGTGTTGCCCCAATAGTCAGGTGTTGAAACAGGGTTTGCTTGTGTAAGCAGCCCCAAGTTGTTCTGCACGATCCTGACTTGAACCGGGAGGCGGACCCGCTGACGAGGACGCTAAAGCCCATGGGCACTCGCGCTGGTCGCCAGTGCATCTCTTAAGGTGTCAGGGAGTGAGGTGTACTCACTGTACAACCTTGCTGACTTCCATTACACTTGTAATCATTACTCCTGTCCATGAAGGACCTTAAAAGATTTCTTACTAATCTGCTTCCATGTCAGGACAGGGCACAAAATCCACAGTTGTTCTGTACAAAAATGGATTTTAAAGTTTATCTGGAGTTTATATGAGACTTCAATACAGCTAATCAAATCAAATGGGAATCATCCAGGTCATTTTAATATAAAATGCCCTCTTAGTGTTACCGTCTCTTCAGTGCAGCTCAGCATGGAAACAGTGTCTGGAGAAACAAGAAGAGGGAATTTATCAAAGCAGATTAATATGTGTCGATTGACTGATACTAATAGTTTCAGCTCCATTGTTGAGCATTAATAGAGAAAGTGTGTGTGTCCAACTGATGATGATAAATTAACTTTAGCCTGCCGTGTTTGCTCTCCTCTCTGCTCATCCCAACCTGACAGCGACTGACTGCACCGTTTTTTTTGTCATTCATCTGAGCTCTGAACTATTGAACTGTGGCATTAGGACACAGGTGTACACTCAGTGAACATTCTTTCAAAATTCAGTGAAGCAGACAACTCTGTGTGTTGTGATTGAACACTGTAGAAGCTGATTTCTCTATAATATATAGTGATGTCCTCTGACAGTTTTCTTGTCAATATGTAATCAGTGGTGCTCCATCTGTACTGCATCCCCCATCCTCCATATAACTGGCCCTTGTGGTGCAAAAATTCTTGAAGCACTTTAAATTATTTATTTATTTTTTATCTATATTTTATTATTATTATTATTATTATTATTATTGGGGATAGTATAGTTTAGTCTGAACCATTTTGTAAGTTTTACTAACTTAGTACAGCCCCACATATCATGTAAACCTGTGGTATTGTCATACTGGACTTTTCTGCAGCACCTCTTTTCACCCTGTGTGTTGACTGCCCCATTTTAGCTTCAGAGCATCTTACTTCTCTTCAATTGTTGGGAGCTGCACATGCGCAGTACCTAGGTAAGGACTACTAGCCAATCAGAAGCAAACAAGGTCAGGTCCTGACTCTGACAAAAAAGGTAGTGTGATCCAAAACAAAGCCACTTCAGCCGGCAATCACAGCTTTGGTCCAGCTGTATTTGATCCCGAAACACAGGCAGAACAATGCGAACCAGTCGCGAACTTGACTGGAGCAGGATGTTTCAGAGTGGTAAATTCTTAATTTGTAACAAATTTATCTTTCATAAGTAATGTGAGGGGAGGCAACAGGCGAACATCTTGTCACTGTGTGTGCTGCAGCTCAGTGTGTTTCTCCACCAGTGTTGACACTACCTTCTAGGCGAGCATTATGCCGTGTGTTACATAGTGATGCAGATAGGCTACGGAAGTAAAGGCTGAATTACAACAGTTTTTTTCAGGGAGTTCAGGAGCAGTAGGGTGAACTTTGGACTTTAATGCAAACGCTCCGTATCTGTTTAGCGCCTTACTAGTCTTTTCTATCCACTCAAAGCGCTTTTACACTACTGGTGGAACAGCCAACAAGTGTATAAGTGTTCAGTATCTTGCCCAAAGACACTTCGACATGCAGCCTGGGGATTGAACCGCCGACTAACGGGCAACCCGCTATACCTCCTGAGCCATAGCTTTACTATGCTATTATATGCAAAAATAAGTATATATGTATATAACACAATAAAGAAAAGGGAAAAAGCCTAAAACAACAATATGACCTCTTTAAAAGAACAGTCCTCACTTTAGTAACCAGTGTACCGGAGTGGCCCGTGTCCACCAAAACGCTTTTTGCCTGCCGAAACTGGATGAACTTTACTGGATGTCAAAATGTCAACAGAGTAGAGTACTTGCGACTGGGAAAAAAAATGCTCAGCGCTCAGCACGGAAAGTACGCTCAGCGCCTCGTCACGCTGCTGGCATTTTTACCAGGCTGTAAAACCGCGGCATGTCATCCCCGATTACTCTAATGCCTCACCTTCTGTAAGCTCTCTACAACACCCTATCCAATACAAAGGCAGAAAAAGTATTGTTTACAGATGATGCATTTAAAGGTGATTTAACTGAGTCTTTCTGAGATTACTTTACACAAGACATTTTACCTGGAGATGGCAATTTCCACTTTGGTTCTGGCAATGGCAGCTGCTCTGACTGCTCCCTCAATGGCTCGATCCACCTTCTGTTTGGTCTTGGCGTTCTTCAACGGGATCAGCTGCTTCCTGATGCCCCGGGCCAGCACGTTGTTCTTGTACTTGCCTTCTTCCTTGGTGCCATCAGGAAAGATGGTACAGCCGTAGCCATGGCGCTTATTGTTCAACCACTCGCCTTCGTACTTCATGCCGTTAGAGCGCTCTGAGACACCAAAGCCGCTGCGCTTGTCGTTCTTCCACTCGCCCATGTAGGACTCGGTGGTGGTGGCATCCACGTTGTCCTCCAGAGGCAGGTAGTCATCGCCCTGGTCTCCGTCTCCAAAACTGATGGTGGAGTTGGCGTCACTTGAACTGATGCGGCTCATGGTGGTGTCACTGTGTGCTGAGCTGCGTTTACTTGAAATCGACGAGCGCGAGTCAGATTTGCGCAGTCGCTGAAGACTACCGAAGAGGGAGCCACGGCGAAAGAGACCCTTCTTCTTCTCTGAACCTTCTCCGTCTGAGTGGAAGTTGAGAACAAAGCCACCGCGTGTGCCAGCAGGGCTGTCAGACAGGCTATCACGCAGTACTGTACCATTACTCTGCTCGCTGCGGAGGGAAGCCAGTGAGGTTCGTAGAGGTGAGCGGATGACAGAGGCCATACCGTATGGAACACTTTGACGTACGCCGTAGCCATGACGCATCCCACCAGTCCACTGACCCTGGTACGTACCTACAGCAAGAAGGGAGGGAGATCCAACAGACAGTTAGTGAACTGTAAAATAAATACAGAAATAAAACAATCTGACAGAGAGGGATGGATAAGCAGTGGTGAAGTATTCGGATCATTTAATAAAGTAAAAGTACTAATACTGCACTGTGAAAATACTCTGTTAGTAAAAGTCCTACATTGAAAATGTTCTTAAAGTATTAAAAGTACTCAATGCAGAAAGAAAAATGTCCTGTGACTGTTCTATTATTATATAAGATTATTATTATTATTATTAATCATGCATTAATGTAAAAGCAGGATTTTACAGTTGTAATTGTGCAATGCCGTCAAAATAACCCAGAGCCCAATGTGACACCTTCACATGCCTGTTTTGCCTAACCGACAGTTCAAAGCTCAAAGTGATAACAAATAAATTAAACAATTTAAAGGAATCTTCACATTTGTGAAGGTGGAAGCATTAAATGTTTTTACAAGAAAAAAGGTCTTAAACCATCAAAGTAGTTGGCATTTAATTTCACTATCAGTCTAATAATCGTGTCAGTTGTAGATAAAATGTTAAATGTAAAATGTTGGCTAGTTTAATTTACAACAAAACATATTTGATGTAGTATTCATATGTTCTGCATGTAAAAATCTTACTTTGTTAAGTAACTGAAGCTGTCAAGCTGTAGTTAAGTAAAAAGTACAATATCTCCCTCTGAGATAGTCGAGTAAAAGTAGAAAGTGGCATGAAAAGTAAAGTACAAGTACCTCAAATTTGTTGATTGTTGCAACAGTAGCCTTTATAGATTACTGAAGTCACTGAACAGATTAAAAAGATAACAATAAATTTATGTAGCTGATGCTTTTATCCAAAGCAACTTACAATAACAAAAAAATTACCTATCTATATGAAGTATCATGGAACTTCATCAACTATGCTGAACTGCTACATTTAGAAACAATAAGCGATAGAGAAAGGGAATAATTGTGACAGGCCTAGTAAGGTGATCTTGAGCTTTTGCTGTTAAATAAATGGGCATCTACATTGTATTTCCATGTATTTCCATATTTACGATCTTAGGAAACTGTACTGAAACGAAATCACCTTCTAACAAGACAACACCCCAGAGCCTAACACCTGTACATTTGTAGAGTGTACTTGAGTCTGAACAGTATTTTGACAGCTTGGACATAAAAAAGTTGTTAGGTGATAAAATAGTTAGCTTTGTGGCCTTGTTAGAAGAGCTCAGACTATGGTCCTGATGGCTTCAGCTGGAGAATGTGAGCATGTGCTATTTTAAAAGATAGAAGTAACTTGAGACACTGGGAAGTCTGTTGGCTGTCCAAACATAACTCCTAGTAGCTATCTTGCTATGTGGAATAAGCCTTCTCCACAGGGGCAGACTGAAGACACTGGCCTAGCCTCTGGAAAAATCTAAGAAGAAAAAAGACTCAGTGGCCAAGCTATATTCCAGAAGTTTCTCAAATGACTCACAGATCTGTCAAAGTAAAGCCAGACCCTGTCTGGGAAATTCACTTTACACATAGAGAGAATCTGCAATTTGGATCTTATTCATTCATTTATTGGAGTCCTTAGTAAAAATAGTAATCCACAGTGTTGGCTGGCATGTTTACTTTCCATGAACCTTCCCCACAAGTAGACAATAAAGAGGAGGTTCATAATTCACTTTAGAACAGTTTGGATAGGATTAGTAATACATGGGGCTTTAAATGATTTGTAATAAATACAGCAGTTGTCCTTATTGTTTAGTTATTCCTGTGCAAAACTGGAGTATTATGTTCATTTGTAAGGATTTGTACGTGTTTTCCCAGCTTTCTTTCTCCCCCTAATCCTCTGTTCCTGAAAAGTAAAGTCTCAGTTTTCTTTAAGATGCATAGAATAGAGAAGTGGTATTGTAACTGAGCATCCTGTGTTCGCCTAACTATATAAACTTAATAAGGAAACGATAAACAGGAAAAGAAGCCCAAACTTCTGAATTTAAACTTTCCTATTTATATTGAAGATGTTGCTGTAACACACTACACAAAATAAAACCCCTCCTCAACAGCCTCTTCCCTCCCAAACAAAGAAATTTAATCTCCCTTAACTGTCCCTCCCAGCTTCCTTACAGAAGATAACAAAAAATGAGAATTTATTCATCTCGTATTGTGCCAAACTTTAGTAAACCAAACATATCGGGTATGGAATTAATCTGTAGATGCTCCGGTTCAAGTTGAGACCAAACTTTTAATGGCTATCTGCTTTTGAGCCACGACAAAGGCCAAACTCTGGCCTGCAACAGACTAGGTGAGCTTTGTGTTTAGCCAAGCGAACTGCCAAAAATGCCTTTTGCTGTGTTGTAACGCACATAAAAAAATGGTGAATAGTACTGGAAAGACAAAAGTCTGAGCTTTACGATAGGCTCAGTCAATAAAATCGTTTATTTCATAAATTGTGCATCAACACAACCACGAGGGATCCTTGATAATACAGTCTTAAATGTGCACAGAGAATAATAGGCTGATATCATAAAAGGAAATATGACAAATATGACTATCTGTACTCTCTCTACATCACTCTTTACATCACATTACTGTATATTATGTTGCAGTATGACTGATTCTTGAAAAAAATATCCTACCCATAGTACTTTACAACACGTTTAATATCACTGAATTAAATCAGAATCATGGGGCACATATTGTAATAACATTATATGCTGCATTCATTTACCTGCTCTATTTTCTTTTACTGTTGCTGCAAACTCAACACATCCTCCATCTGTTTCAGAATTAAATCCAGCAGGTTCAGGGGGCATAACGCCTTACTTCCATGGAAGACTTTCATTGTCAAATCGCTGCAGGAAGTGTTTGAGTTTCAGCAGCTTAACAGAGACAGAATGAAAGGCAAACGAGAACTAAATTTAACAGTGCCTGGGAACAATATTTCTGTTAAAGTCAGAGCTGCAGCGGCGGAAGTAAGAGATGGCACTGTTGCTGAACTGATGGATTTAATGTTTTGAAATATAAATTATGCTGAATTCACCATATCAGCCATTATAACTAATTAATTTGGTTCAGTTCTTGTCCCCCACCTTTACTTAATTTAATACGGGGTTTTAGGAGTTAAAACTCAAACTGTACACTTGACATAGGTATGTTAACAATGCACCCACACTTGTTAAGTGAAAAGGGTCACTGAACTGGCTGTAACCTACTGTACTAAACACATTAGGCAAATACATAATCTAAGCTCTACAGCCTAATATGACATTAGCACTGCTTAAACGAGCAGTTGAACCAATGATCAGTGCAGTCTTACAAAGTCCTATTGGCAAAATCCTAATGCATTGGATAATAACAACTTAACAAAGTAAGATGGATTAATTCCTGCCACATCAAGGTGCAGCACAGAGCTAAAGATAGAGGGAGTAGGAGAGAGAGGGGCCCCTTGGCTGGGAATCAGAAATGGTTTCATATAACCAGTAGTGGGTAAAAGAAGTTCCATAAACCTTTTACAACTACAGGAGGAGGAACACATTAAAGTAATACACGGGAGTAAGAGCACAGGTTTTTAGTTGAGTAAAAGTTATGAAGTAGAATTTGTTAAAAATACAGAATAAGAAGCGAAAGTAAACATGAAGTTCTAATTGTCGTTCTTGTATTACAGCGCTTCCTGCATTAGTTTGGTTAGTTTTTGTAATAAGGCTTCAAATAAAGTCTGCTCCAGCAATTTAGTATTGCACTTCTGAAAGTTGGGGGACTAAAAGAGACAAAGAGATCTCATCTTTTAGTTCCTACGGCTCAAGTTCCAAAAATGCTGGATCCTACACTTCCCATGATGCAACTGGACAGCCTCTTTTGTTGGTAATTTTTATTTCTCAGAATTGACAAAAGCTGTGTAAAAGAAGCTCATTTTTTAATCTGTGATATTACTACAAACCCTGAGTTAATGTGACAAAGCATGACAACATGGGAAACTGAACACTGTTTATTCCCTTTACTTCCAGAACATGGCTGAGCACCTGTTGGTGTCCCTCAGTTTATCCATTTTAATCATCTCACTAAACATTCATCAAATGTGTTGGTTCACTTTTGATATGTTAGTGCTGGCAAATTACAGATTCTGGACTGGACTCAGGGCAGATTAATAGGTTGAACCTCTTGTGTAATTGCCATTTATTGTTACCTATTCTCAGTTAGATTATACGGGATTCAGATCATTAACAGATTAGAAATTACAATACAATAAAGTTTATACTTGGCGGTAAGTCCTATATAATGTTGGTTAATTGATCAATCTGACTTGCTGTCCAGCTCTACTGCAGATACAAGCTAACATTGTGCCATCCTGCTAGAAGCTACGACAGTCTGTTGACCATAAGAGCAATGATGTGTATAAATAATTATCTCTTTATCAACAATCAAACAAGTATGTTCCAAACTTATGGAGCTCCAAAGTGTTGAATATTATATAAAATAATAATTATGAAACATCACAGTTGAATCAATCACTTTTGTGGAAAACATATTAATAAAATATTTTGTGAAATAATTATTTAAACTCAGTTTTTTATTTATTTATAAAATGTTATTTCATCCTTCTTTGAAATTTTATCGGATATCATTTCTATTTCATTGTAGACATTTTTATTTCAAAATGCCCTTTTCAAAAGCCTGCTTTTATGTCTTAATGCCACTTTGTTTTCATAATGTCACTTTCCCTATTTCCAGAAACATCGCAGACTTCGTGGATGAGGACCCACTTGTTGGTGCCCAATCCTCCCTGGTAACCCGATTAGAGTTTAACCTCTTTTAAGACACTGACCGAGCCGTTGCATGCATTTGGATCGCTTTGAGAGATTTGGTTGGTGTGGGATTACATAAAAATGTCAGTATTTTGTGCATTTTCCTTGATAATTAAGCAAGTAGACATATAGTAGGCGACCATTTGTTCCATTATAATCAAATCGCAATATTGTTAACAATAATCACAGTATGACCTTTTTCTCCAAACCATGCAGCCCTAGTCCTTTAAGAGAGTGCAGTAAATGTTTGGCTGGTGAGAAAGGTGAGAGGGTGGCATTGACAAAAGTAGCATTATGAAATATTACATGAAACAAGATATCTAGAAATAATTCTTGTTGAAATAAAAACAGAAAAGAGGCATTCTGAAATAAGATGAAAATAAAGAAACAGAAATATTAACCACTAAAATTCAGTTCTTATGAAAATGAGTTTTAATAGTTTCTTCAATAATTTCACAAACTGTTGGTCAATTTATGTATTTTACACAGTTTATTCATGTGATTATTTATCTAATTTTATCGGTTTCATTTATTTAATACCGAACATTTTGGAGTTCCATATATAACATGATTTAAACTTTGTTACACAACCTTAAGCTTATGTTGACACCCACCACCCCACCCCTTAACCCAATTTTGGAACAAATCTGACAAACATATGCAGATCAGTGTTAACTGAGACGCCACAATGGTGCATCCCTCCTCATGGCACCAACAAAACAAACAAACACAACTAAAGCACAGTATGATAAAAAAGTCAACTTTCCGAAATAAAATCACTGGTTTCACACACTATGAATCATTTGGTCTGCAGCTAACTCAAATGTTCCCACTTTGTGTGTCCGTGTGGGTGTTCACGTGTGCACGTGCACAGCGTTTTTGCTGTATTTTCTAAAAATAGGCATATTAATATGTTCCAACATTGAAAATGATTTACTCGCATCAGCATCCACGCACCCTGCCCCCCCTCATCTCACCTCCATCACCGTAGGTCTCCACGCCATATCCGTCCTGCAGTCCGTTAGTCCAGGTGCCCTCGTACCTCGCAGGTGTGTTCAGGCTCTGTCGGACTCCGTAACGGCCCTTGAACCCGTGCGTCCACTCCCCCCGGTAAGTCCACCTCCCCTTCATTTCTACGCCGAGTCCGTGGCGTTTCCCTTGCGCCCAGTAGCCCTGGTACACGTTCCCGCTGGGCCAGGTGTACACGCCGACCACCTCGAAACCGTTGGACCAGGAGCCCGAGTACTCGCCCTGGCCCTTGGGTCCGGTGCACACACCCTGGCCGTGGGCTTTTCCATCCTCCCAGCCGCCGCAGTAGGTGCCACCATCGTCAAAGTCGAACCGACCGCCCGTCATTCAGAAACGGAAGGTAAAAGTACTGCTCCGTGGCTTATTATGAAGTCCAGAGTGCGCGGGTTGTTTTCAGATGCGAGGTGAGTTGACAGGGAGGAGAGCAGCTTTCGGCGGAGGTGTGAGGGGACGGGGAGTGATGGCGGCAGTGCGCATCAGCGGTGCCGTGCCGGTTACTGAAAGCGGGACGTGGGAGGGTGAGAGGCGGCCGCCACGGCTGCCAGAGTCGCTTCTCTGCTGGATACTGGAAAACTCTCCCACTCCTCTCTCTGAAGTCAAGGTTGTTAAGGTGCCCGTGATGAAGCAATGGCAACGGCTCTTCCTGTTTGACTTTTCAAAATAAAAGCAAGCCATTCAATCCATACTTTAGGCACCTCTCTCAACCTTAACCTCTTAAGAAAAAAACGCCTAAAATAACATCCCTAAAGTCAATCAGAAATAACTCCTCAACCATTAGGCCGAGATGCATAATTCTGGTCTCCTTTGATAGATCAGAAGCTAAGGAATGTTTGCCATTACAGAGTAGGCCTACATGGAGATGCAATAAAAGAAAATATATTTTCATCCTCGCCTAGTATAAAATATACATTTCAAAACCATCATTATTATACTGTTGTTTTTTTTTGTTTTTTTTAAATATACCCAGGTGAATGTCCATATTTTGGCCATATTTACTGTTTACATGTTGACTTTTATTGGGAGTTTTCTTCAAAACACTATTAATGTCCATACAGCCATGTTACAAATAACATTAAGTGCCCATAACATTGAAATATTAATAAATCCAGTGAATATTGATCAATATTCCTATTACCAAAAAAGTCCCATGCTTTACAGGCCGATAACTTGAGATCCTATAGTGATGTATATGGTACCAATTGATTCATCTCGGTCAGACCTTTCTGATACATGATGCATGTCTGTAAGCAGAGATTGCAGAGGTGCTGGAAGATGCTCAATCTTGTCACAGTAGTTCTTTTTAGCGTCTCTTATAGTTTCCCCCGTTGATCCTTTTGGATAGTGCAGAGTTCCTTGTGATCTGTTCCCATAAAGGCCATCCTCTTCTTCTTGATGAGAAGGGCCTTGATTTCTTTGTCAATCGACGGTTTATTGTTCTAGACGCAGCTTACCTTTTTGGAGGGTACAATGGTGTCCTCACAGAAATGGATGTAGCACTTGCCACCACAGCAGATGGACAAATAAAAACGGTAACAACAGTGGCGTACAAGAACTCCCACGACTTATAATAGGGTCTCAATCCTACCGTGATCAGTTCAACATCAGGGGTGCAAATACATTCCTTGACAGTAACATGTACAAATTTCATTTCTTAGAGTTAATAAAGACAACAAGACCTCTTCCTGTCTTCTTAACGCTCTGTTTCCACCCATCTGCTCGTATTAGCATTCTTTCTCTGTAGGCATGCTGGCTGTTCACAATGGTGGTTAAGTGTCTCCATATCTCGTCCGGTCTCATGTGTGCAGGTGGAACTCCAGCTCCACACCGGTATTCCAGGAGCTTGTCACAGGTGTAAGCGACTATTTTATCTGTAAGTATTTTATTGAAGAACACAACAGAAAACATCCAAAAACACCATAACTTAAATTTTGCAGCAGTGCAAACAATCTCACACAAAGAAAGTACACAAAAGTAGTCAAGAAAGTAAACAAAATCCAAAAGCAAGCCATTGCAACGAGAGAGCTGCTGCAACAGGCTACCTACCACTTCTGTGTATGTGTCTATGCTCTGTTTTCAAGGTTGAATCAATGTTTTTGAAGTAACTGTTCATTTAGAAATATGTTGTTATGGCTGTAAGTCAGTTTTGTCCAGAAACAATAATTTGTGTAATCCCTCTGTATGTTTTCCTCTAGTTTTTAACTATAGTCAAAATAATACAGACATTGTGCACTTGTTAAATGAAAAGTTTGTGATATAATTTAAGATAACTAAAGGGGTGATGGGGCACCCTTTGGTGTGAGAGACCCGGGTTGAAATCCACTGTGAAACACCAATGTGTCCCTGAGCAAGACACTTGCTCCAGTGGCATGCGACCTCTGACATAAATAGCAATTGTAAGTCACTATGGATAAAAGCGTCAGCTAAATAAATAAATGTAAATGTTAATGTAGAGTGTTTACACAATAAATTCCAAAACTAAGTGTAGAACTTGTAATAATGACTAGGAATTAAGTTGGTTAAAAGATGTCAGACATCATGCGGTGATAATTTTTTGTTTGCTTTATGAACAGTATAAACAGACCAAAGGACACAAAGAACAAACACAATAGGGGGGTCTCGTACGAAGGGTTCCTGGGAAGTATGGCCTTTATTTTTTAAAATAAAACTTTTTTAGGACTAAAAAATGGCAAATGCCATCTGCAACCAGTTGGGTTCTATTCAAAGCTGCTAACATTATGGATATCTAAATTTAGAAATTTAGAAAACGACACCAGCTGTTCTCACTGTTACTCAAACTGCACATGTAATATGTGCACCAAAGAACAACTCTGGAAATAGAGAATATATTCAAGGAAGTAATTGTTGTAAATTAGGTTTTTGTTAATCTATCCGAATTGTCCTATTAGTAGTAAGTATATGGCAACAAATCGAGCATTAGGAAATAAGCTTTTATTTTGAAAGCAGAAACATCACTCTCTTTTCCGGCTAACTGTGAGCAGCTTCATGAGGCTGACAGGCCTTACACATCCACACAAGACAGTGATCAACAGTTTTTATGTAAGATCTGTAACATCAATCAGCATAGACATCTCAGTGTTTATTGATTCTGACAGGAATTCAAATACTGCTTGTAGATTTTACTATTTGAACGCCATTTATTCAAGTTATTTACATAGCCCAATACTAGAAATCACACTTTGCTTAAAGGGACTTAAAAACAAGTTGAATTACCAAAGGTGGACATTTTTAAATGAAAATAAGATCAGTGAAACGGTAAACATTTGTAATCTATAATTTTCCAGTGCTGATTGATGGGTATGAACCTGCCTGGCGTGAAATATGGTAATTATTATTTTTATGATGCTGGTTCTGGGGTGTTCAGGTGCAAAGCAGTGAATCCATTATACTAACAGATATTTAAACTGGGACAGGCAATTAATTTCAGAAGCGTTTCTGTTATACTTGTTAAAATTCTCTGCACATGAAAATGTGTTTTGGAGCAGTGGTTTGAAGGAAAGGCCTCAAAGGAGGGGGTGGGATTTTTTTTCAGCTGGATACTTGCCATTACAGAGTAGGTGTCTCTGGTTGGTTTCTTGAACTGCTAGCTTTAAAAGTGATGTAATATAAGATCTATAATGGTTGTAAAATAATTATTTCTGTTGCATGTCACACTTATTAACAAACATATTATTGATGCAACATTCTGTTTTCATTTTATGCTGAACTTGTAAAGTATTTGAAATGGTATTTTACCAAATTAGTTTATTAGGTTGCAACGATTAGCAATTTCTCCACATAATTCCTACAAGTTTACAGTATTCTGTACTTTTGTATCGATGGTGGCTGCGTTAAGAATCAATCTGCAGGAATTGTAGGTTGGTAATAATTAGGAAGGCCTCCAGCAAAAACCATGTTACTGCTTTCATTCCTATGATCAGGTAAATTAAATTAAACAACTTGAAGCCTCTGGAAAGTGCACCTCTTATTTTCCACTTTTTGTGTGTTAAAGGTTCAGTGTTTCAGTTTTATGACATTAATGGTGATGGCTGCAAATTGCAACCAGCGGTTCACGGTGCATTCACATGCTTCTTGGATGGTCGTATTTCCTCGAGTGCTTTCCACTGTTTTGTGGTTGAGCGTGAGTGGAAAGACTTCCATCAGCTCTTGAAATGTTTTGACATAACATTTTGACAACACAACGGTGTTAAAGACCATTGTTTGAGGAATACCAAGGAGTTGAGTGCTGAATTTAATGAAATTAATGATGTGGTGTCATGGGCTGTGCTGATATGAACTGTTTTCTCAGTTGTACTGTCAAAAATACAACAATAACCTACATATTCCAGTAGTACATTCAGTTAGCAACACCAAAAGCCAAAATCTACTTTATCTATCGTAACCAATACCAATTGATGGAGTTCAATGTTATGTAAATGCTCCGTATTTGTATAGTGCCTTTCTAGTCTTTTTGACCACTCATCTGCATTCCCCATTCACACACAACAGAAACTCATACACTGGCGGAACAGCTGCCAGGGGCAATTCGGGGTTCAGTATCTTACCCAAAGACACTTTGACATGCAGCGGATTGAACCGCCGACCTCCCGGTTGACAGCCAACCCGCTCTATCTCCTGAGCCACAGCCGCCCCAAATGTAAGTTAGCTGCTAGCTACAACATGTTAGCACACCTAAAGTATAGCATTAAATTAATAAATTAATTAATAAGTTAACTAAATATTTATAAATTTAATAAAGCAGAACCAAAACCTAAGACATTGGCTTTATTATTTGCAATATTAGAACCATAACATCATTGTAAATGCAGTGAGAGAAAAGGTTACGACGTCACATGCAAGACTTTTGGGTTGTGCTCTTTGTAATTATGTATCTTCACAGTCTTCTACTTCAGCAGTTTTATATCAAAACGCGACGTTCTTGACTTTTAAATGTACATTTTAAATTGACCATCGTCATTTGTGTAATTTAGAGGATCAGAAAATAAGTTGTCTCTCGCCATTGACTACCATACATATTTTTTCCAAATTAAGGTCCCATGGTGGTCCACTGGAAGGGGAGGGACTTAGGCTCTCTGCACTGCTGAATTGAAGCAGTGTTTACCGGCTTCTCACGACCCGCCCTACTCTGCTTCTGATTGGCTAGTAGTCCTTACATAAGAACTGCGCATGTGCAACTCCCAACAAAGATCTTGTAGAGGTGAGATGTATCACTCCACAGCTAAAACGAAGCCTTCAACACAGGGTGAAAACTGCAGCAATGTGCAGTATGACAAAAGAATATGTTGTTTTAGGAAAATTAAACCATGTAAACCTGTTCTGGTACAACCCCTAAATAAGGTTTTGAACCTGAAAATTAGCATAATATGACCTCTTTAAATAAACAAAATGTTCATTGCTAATTGGATAAAAGATTTAGCAGCAGGTGAGGTGTATGCCTATATGGCCAGGCCCAGGATCTACTGCTTGGTTGTCCTGCACTATACTTTGTTTGTGTTACAACCTACAAGGTTTTTATAGTTTATTAGCATGTCTTGTCCCATTTTGGATTAAATCTGTTTCTT